GCTGGGCTCCGGCGATCCTTCCACCTCAGCCTTCCTAGTAGCTGGAACTACAGGTGCGCGTTACCACGCCGGCTAATTTTTGATTTATCGTAGAGACGAGGTTTCACCAAGTTGCCCGGGCTGGTCTTGAACCCGCGAGCTCAGGCAGTTCACTTGCCTCGGCCTCCCAAAGTGCTGAGCTACCGAGCCTGGCCCACCTTCCATGTCTGTATTTCATATGCCCTGCTTGAAAATGACATATCAGAGGGCATCCGCTTCGGGTCCCTTCTCACTGTGGAAACTTTTCTGTCCTCTCAATAAATCTGCTTTAAAAAAGAAAAGAAAATGGTGTAAGATTTTTGGGCATTTTTTAATTTGAGGTATGTCTCAGTATACGCCTTAATGTTTGACTTTTCTCCTGGTGTTTTCTTCCCCACTTCACCGAGCCACTCTTGCTGTTTTGCCTAGGGTTTGGATGCAGACAGCCTCCGCGTGGAGCCATTGGGGGAGGACAATTCTGGGGCTCTCTATTGGTATTTCTATGGAACACGAATGTACAAAGAGGACCCGGTACAAGGAAAATCCAATGGAGAACTTACCTTGGGCAGGTATGTTCCTTAATGTCAGGGCTGTGACAGCTATCTATAAAGATGTCAGTGCCGTGAAATGCATCACAGTTCTATAGCACTTTTTTCCATAACAAAAGAATGACAGCAAAAAGATGGCAAGAGGTTTTTTTTTCTTCTTCTATTTATTTATTCATTTATTTTTTGAGACAGGGTTTCGCTGTGTTAGCCAGGCTGGAGTGGAGTGGCACGATCATAGCTTTAGTTTACTGTAACCTTGAACTTCTGTGTTTCAGGAATCCTCCCGAGTAGCTGGGACTACAGGCATGCACCACCACACCTGGCTATATATATATATATATATATATATATATTTATTTTTTTTTTTTTTTTAAAGTTGGCAGCTCACTTTGTTGCCCAGGCTGGAGTGCAGTGGCATGCTTGAGGCCCCCATAGCCTCCACCTGCTGGGCTCAGGTGATTCTTCCGCCTCAGCCTTCCAAGTAGCTGGAACTACAGGCAAGGGTCACCATGCCTCGCTTCCTTTTTTTTTTTTTTGATTGTAGAGATGAGGTCTCGCCAAGTTGCCCAGGCTAGTCTTGAACCCGTGGGCTCAGGCAGTCCTCTCACATCAGCCTCTGAAAGTGCTGGGATTATAGGAATAAGCCACTGCGCCCAGCCTTAATTCTTTTATTTTTTGTAGAAAAAGAGTCTTGCTGTGTTGCCTAGGCTGCTCTTGAACTCCTAGCGTCAACAATCCACCTGCTTCATCCTCCCAAAGTACTGGGATTCCATGCATGAGCCAATGCACCCAGACAGCAAGAAGTTATTTCACGCAAAAATTTAAAGAGGAATTATTCCTCTGCTACCAGAATGGTGGAAGATACTGTCTTTTTGATCTGATGTTCTTGATAAGGGTTTCCTCAGGAATACCACTACCATTACCTGGCCTGTTTCGTACATGAGTTTCCTCTCAATGCGATCATTTCATTGAGCCAGTGTCATCTTCCTAGCCAATCCTTGAGAACACCTTTCTTCTACTAGAATCAATGGTCTGGGTTATGAACCTTGGGATTCATCAGTTGAAGAGAAGGGACTGTAAAGGATGCCTGAAACGTTGAGTGTGTTACAAAGTAGCCACATTTCCATGGCATTCCATCCCATGGCTAATCTCTTATTTTATTTGGACTCTCTTATTGCTAGGAGCAGTGCTCACTCTTGGCAGGGTGTTAATCTTAAGCATATTCTGATAATGGAAGACTGGTAGTTGCCCCCACCATTTCCCTGTGAAGGCATATTAATCCTTTTTGGTAACCTCCTGACCAGGAGTACTATGTTAAAATCATGTGCAGCTTGCCAATTCTATGTCAGAACATTTCTATTTAATAGTATTTAATATTTCTTAGGGAAAATGAAGGACAAAAAACTATCTCAAGTATTCCTGGGAAAACAGGAAAAAGAAGAGGAAGACCCCCAAAACGTAAGAAAATACAGGAAGAAATTATATTGAGGTAAGAAAATCTTGTTACTCTATGGTCATAGAGCTTCGTGCGGCTTGAAGGGACTGCCATTTCTCTCACTTTCTTCCTTTGCCCTAGATTTTTGCTCCTGCCAAAGGCAGCACACAGGCTTAATTGATGGAAACTTCAGTCTGATCCGCATTAAATGATCATGTGTGCACTAGGGAATCTGGAAGCTCTAACCTTGGGACCTCTGGCATGTGACCACTCTAAACGTGTTCTTTGATCTGATGATGCTTGTGCCTTTAATGAAGGTTATCCTGAAAATGGCAGTGTAACCAAGTGAAACCCTTGGTTGATGCTTAGTATGTTAGTAGCTTATCAAATCTGTTACATTTTTTTCCACAGGTGATAGAGCAGGTTACTACTATGGTTGTGTTGACTAGCAATCAACATTTCAGTAGCAACACATATATCTAGTTGAGGACTTATTCTCTCCCATGAAGGCAACTATAGTAGGTCACATGACCAGACATACTTTATTTTTCATAGAATGCCATTTCCTACAATAAAGAAAAGGAAGATAACGTTAAGCATCTTTGTCCTTCAACTTCATATTTAATTTTAGCAGAGGAAACAGATTCTGTTTGGGAAGTATTCTATTATACGTCACTTCCTTTTAGGAAATCTCATGTGAATCTTGATAGAGGAGTTTTCAGAATCTGAACTACACCGTGGAAATATACTTTTACTTAAGGATCAAATCTGTGTTGATAAACCTGTTGAAGTGAGACTGTTCTTGAAAATTCTAATAACTCAGGACAAACATCTTCTTCCCTCACTTCTTAATGCTAACACTAGGCCAGATTTCACTGTGTTGCTTTTGTATTGTTTTGTTTTGTTTTTGAGTTGGAATCTCTGTCATCCAGGCTGGAGTGCAGTGGCATGCTCACAGCCACCCCAGCGTTGACCTGCTGGGCTCCGGCCATCCCTCCACCTCAGCCTTCCAAGTGGCTGGAACCACAGGCGCACACTATCACGCCCGGCTAATTTCTTTGATTTATTGTAGAGATGAGGTTTCTCCAAGTTGCCTGGGCTGGTCTCGAACACTGGGCTCAAGCAATCCTCTCTCCTCCACCTCCCAATGTGCTGGGATTATAGGCATGAGCCACTGCACCAGTTGCACAGTTGTTTTTTAAACACTAGGAAATATTTTTAGGAAGTCGAATATAGATCAACCAGAATTTGCTTTTTTAACTCGGCATTACACCTCACTTGCCAGATTGCAGCGCCTGTTGCCTCCTGGGTGATGTTTGTGAGAAGTGTCCCATAATTACTTGTATATCATGTACACAACACCTGTTTCTGGATCTGCTCAGCATCCCACACAGTCTTCTATTCCAAGAAAACTGGTGCTGTACCTTTGCCTTTCCCTGGAAGTGTGGACAATTCAGTTCCTTAGCACTGGGAAAGTCGGCATTTTTAACAAGCATGCATGCATAGGCTTCTGCTACCCTCTGCTGGTGATGTTTTTCCTTTGGAGCTGTCTGTCTAAATATTTTTATAGTAAATAAAATTTAAAAATCCATTTCTTGCAGGAGCCACCTTTCACGTGCTTAGTAGCCACATGTGGCTTGTGGCTACCTTGATGGACCGCACCAATCCAGAACATGTTCATTCTCATGGAACATTGTATTGACATTGTACCGCCTAGATATTTGAAACCAAACAAAATTCCACAGTCTCATATCTTTTGCAGGAATGCAAAGGAACTGGTGCTTGGCATTGGTGTGTTTTACATGTTTGTATTTTGTCATTTAAGTTTCATCAACCCTGTGAGGCAGGCGTTTACTTAAGTTACTTAAGCCATTGGTCTTGCAACTTCAGAGCCTAGGCTCTTCTTAGCTCTCAGCTGGATGTGATGTTCAGTTAAATATGCCTGCCTTGAATGTGACCCTGTGTCACGAAGCAGGTTATTGGAATCTCTGAAGCTTTTTGACTTGGCACTTACTATTAACAATTAACACATCTGTTTGATTTCCAAAAATGGTTTTAAAAGTTAATATTTTAATTTTTTATTTATTTTGAGTCAGAACCTCACTGTGTTGCCCAGGCTGGAGTGCAGTGACATGCTCACGGCCACTGCAACCTCGATTTGCTGGACTCAGACCATCCTTGGGCCTCAGCCTTCCAAGAAGCTGGGACTGCAGGCAGGCACCATCACGCCCCCCTAGTTTTTCTTGATTTGTTGTACAGATGAGGTCTCACCGAGTTGCCCAGGCTGGTCTTGAACCCGTGGGCTCAGGCAGTCCTCTCATCCTAGCCCCCGAACATGCTGGAATTATAGGCATGAGCCACTGCGTCCAGCCATATGTTAATATTAATCTTAATATTAACATAGTTTCTTACGCATTGATGCTGTTACTGTCATATTGGGCAGCCAAATGTCAGGGCCTCCCTCCACACTGATATGCCCCCATCCTGCTGTTCTCTGATTGAGTGGAATCAACCCTCCTCCTAACGCGTCTCCCTTGACAGACAGACAGACACACACACACACACCTCTCTCTCTCTCTCTCTCTCTCTGGCACTCTCTGGTATTTGGGTCTACCTTTTAGGTGAGTACAGAATAGTTTTGGAGCTGTCTTTTAATTGGTGACTACTTTTTCCTGTTTTTCAGTGAAAAGCAGGAAGAGAACTCCTTGGCATCAGAGCCACAGACAAGAAATGGTAATGTTCTTTGCTGGAGTTTAGAAAGAATTAAGTAGACATGCTTCCTTTATACTAAGATGGTGAGTCTATCATTTTCGAGACTCATACAACGTATGTAGTTAAGACGATTGCAGTTGCCTTCTTACTAACCCCCGACCCCTCTTCAATTCTCTCTTCCTCACGTCTTCTGCTGTGCCTCGCTCCCTGCCTGTCATGTGAAGTGAGACCGAGACAAGGTCTTTTTTCTAGAGCCTGTCCACTAGGCACGGTGTAATAGACACCTAAACCTTGGAACAAGTGAGCAGCTTCTCGAAGGGCTGTCTTTAATGTTAGCGCTTATGACACATTGGGCTCCTTATGGGCTTACTGCATACTGACTTCCTTACCTGGATTTTAATTCTGTAAGCCAAACAGCATAAATTTAGGGGAAAATACCATCTTACAGTGTCACAGTATAGAGTTAGTATGTTAAGTTGAACTCTCTGAAGCCTCAAAGTCAAAACCATGTTTTGAGTACATTTAATCATTTCTAGGAGGTTAAAATCTAGCTTGTTGACGTCATAATACTTAGATTTGTATTGCGTCTAGCCATTCTTTTAGTTGCCAACAACGACACGAATAGGAAAATCAGAAGCATGCCGTGGCAACCTTAAAATTAAAAAGTCATGCCTCTCCTTTTTTCTGACGCTTATTTGACTCTTGACCCAGGGTAGAAAAAACACTGAGAATCAAGAGAAAAAAGACCCTAGTGGGGTCTGTTGTAGTGAATCCATTGCTTTCGTTCTAGGATCACAAGGGCCAGGCCAAGGCACGTGGTGGCTTCTGTGCCAGACAGAAGAAGAATGGAGACGGGTCACCGAGAGCTTTCGAGAGAGGACATCGCTCCGGGAACGGCAACTCTACAAGCTCCTCAGCGAGGACTTCCTGCCGGAGATCTGCAACATGATTGCCCAGAAGGTAGGAAAGGCTCTGGCCTCCTGAGCCCCCCTCCCGCGTTAGCGTCTTGGGAGGATTATCATGGAGCACTGCGGAATACATGTCACTGTCATGGACGTCATGCAGACTTGCAGGCTTTCTGAACTGGGATGGTAGAGTGAGACCCCGTGCCATCCACTGTCCTTCACTGTGGCCCGTATCATGTGCTCCGTACTCCAGGAAGTCCTTGGTGCTCACTACCCACCAATATGAAAAATGGCTTTTTTTTTTGGAGTTGGAGTCTCACTCCATCTCTCAGGCTGGAGTGCAGTGGAACACTTGTCACGGCCACCCCAGCGTTGGCATGCTGGGCTCCGAACTACAGGTGTGCGCTCCCACGCCCGGCTACTTTTTTTTATTTATTGTAGAGACGAGTTCTCACCATGTTTCCCAGATTGGTCTCGAGCCCACGGACTCAGGCAGTCCTTTAGCCTCGGCCTCTGGGACTATAGCCTTGAGCCACAGCTTCCAGACAAAAATGGCTTTTTGTACATTTGAATTTTGGGAACTAACTTTCCTTATTCCCTCCGGGAATATTCCCTAAATCCCAAGCTATGTCTCATGTCACCCTGTGTATACCTCTGTGTCATGCTTTAAAAAGGTTGCACCTATAATCCAGCACTTTGGCAGGCTAAGGTAGGAGGATCTGTCAAGGCCAAGAGTTTAAGACCAGCCTGGGTAACATAGCAAGACTTTGTCTCTTTATGAAAAGAAAAGAAAAGGCCAGGTGTGGTGGCTGACTCCTATGATCCCAGCACTTTCGGAGGCTGAGGTAAGAGGTTTGCCTGAGCCTACAGGTTCGAGACCAGTCTGGGGAACTTGGTGAGACCCCATCTCTACAGTAAATGAAAAACTTAGCTGGATGTGGTAACGCACGTCTGTAGTTCCAGCTATTTGGAAGGCTAAGTCGGAAGGATTGCCTGAGTTCAGCAGGTTGAGTCTGCGGTCACCGTGAAAGTGCCACGGCACTGCACCCTGGGTGACAGAGTGAGACTCCAATTAAAAAAGAGAGAGAACGAGCGAGGCACAGTGGTTCACACCTATAATCTTAGCACTTTGGGATGCAGAGGCACGAGATTGGCCTAAGCTCAGTGGATCAAGACTGGCCTGGACAACGTGGCGAGACCTCCTCATCTCTACAATAATGAAAAAGTTAGCCGAGTGTGGTGATGTGGTTCTAGCTTCTTGGATGGCTGAGGCAGAAGAATTGCCTGACGCCAGCAAGTCGGGGCTACAGTGGCCATGATCATGCCACTGCCCTGAAGCCTAGGCGACAGAGAGAAACTTCAACTCAACAGAAAAAGGGAGAGAGAAAAAGAAAAAAATCAGCAGGACATGGTGGCACATGCCTGTAGTCCTAGCCACTCAGAAGGCTGAGGCAGCAGGATCGCTTGAGCCCAGGACTTCCAGACTGTAATGAGCAATGCTTGTGTCATTTGGAGTCCGGTATGGGTGACAGAGTAAGACCTTGTCTCAAAAAAACTTTTTTTTTAAACATCACTACGTCGAGGTCGAGGCTGTGATGGCCAGGAGCGGCCACTGCACTCCAGTCTGGGTGACAGCGTGAGACTCCAACTCAAATAATAATAATAATAATAATGCCTAAATCAAAGTTCTAGAGTGAAAAACTATAAACTAAGATGAAAAAGACATTGGATGGGATTACCAGCAGATTACACAAAACAGAGTAACAGATGAGTTAATTTGAAGACACAAAAATAGAAACTATCCAAAATGAACCTGAGAGGAGAAAAAATTTATAAAGTGAGCTCTGGAAACACTTTAAGCCAGATGAAATATGTGTAACTAGAGTTCCTTGAAGAAGAGAGAGGAGAGACAGAAAAATATTTACAGAAATAATGGTCAAGTTCTTCCAAAGTTGATAGAAACAATAAACTCACAGATCCAAGATGCTCTATGAACCCCAAAAACAACACACACAAAGACAAACTACACCAAAAATAAGAAAATATTTTTTCAAGGACATACAAAAAAAAAAAAAATCACTACGTCTATGACTTGTCCTTATTTCTCCCAATCTTGGTCCTTTATCATTGTGAGTTCAGTCTTGTTCACCTCGGAGCCCATGACTAGCCCTCTCAGTAGTTAAAGTAATGCCTTTTCTATGGTGGATGGTTGATAGTCATTCAGTCATTGCTTATTTCAGATCCATAATGCAAATATTTCTGATTAATAAATATTAATAGAGAAGGTATTTACAAATTATTACTCCGGTATCTACAGGGAAGCAAAATGTCCAAATATTTTACTAATTTATTATAGATCCAGTGATGTATCTAACTTTTTATTTTTTATTTTTTTTATTTTTTTGAGTTGGAGTCTCACTCTGTCACTCAGACTGGAGTGCAGTGGCCGCTCGCAGCCACTGGAGCCTCGACCTGCTGGGCTCTGGCGATCCTTCCGCCTCAGCCTTCCAAGTAGGTGGAACTACAGGCGTGAGCTACTACGCCCAGCTAATTTTTGATTTATTGTAGAGATGAGGTCTCGCCAAGTTGCCCAGGCGGGTCTCGAACCCGCGGGCTCAGGCAATCTACTCACCTCGGCCTCCCAAAGCGCTGGGATGACAGGCTGAGCCACCGCGCCCAGCCAGTATCTAATTTTTAAACAGGCTGATACTTTTGGGGAAGTTCTATAAATTTCTCATTCTCTAATAGCAGGACCTTACAAACAATACTTCAAGATTACATTGTCATATGGGAATCCAGAAAATCTGCATTTCCCCATCAGTGTACTTAATTCCATAAAAGATAACTTATATTTACTTTTTGTGATCTACCACCTAACTAATAATTTTTCTAGGATTTAAATGCATAATCTAGGCCAGGCGTGGTGGCTCACATCTGTCATCTCAGCACTTGGGGAGGCAGAGGCAAGAGGACTTGCTGAATCCAGGAATTCAAGACCAGCCTGGGACACTTGTTGAGACTTCATCTCTACAATAAAAAAATAGCCGGGTGGTAGCTCGCACCTGTAGTTCCTGCTACTCGAAAGGCTAAAACGGAAGGATTGCCTGTGCCAAGTGGGCTGAGGCTGTGGTGGCCGTGAGCATGCCACTGCACTCTAGCCTGGGGGCGACAGAGTGAGAATCCTACTTTAAAAAAAAAAGACGACGCAGAAATGAAAACAAATACATAATTAATTTTCTTAAATTAACTATTAGCCAGGCTCGGTGGCTCAGCCTGTAATCCTGCACCTTTGGGAGGCTGAGGTGAGTGAATTGCCTGAGCCTGCGGGTTCAAGACCCGCCTGGGCAACTTGGTGAGACCTCATCTCTACAATAAAGCAAAAATAGCCAGGCATGGTAGCGCGCACCTGTCGTTTCAGCTACTTGGAAAGCTGAGGCAGAAGGATCGCCGGAGCCCAGCAGGTCGAGGCTGCAGTGACCGGGAACGGCCACTGCACTCCAGTCTGGGTGACAGTGAGACTCCAACTCAAAAAAAAAAAAATTAACTATGATTTAGAAAGATAGTTTTACAACTTTGCATCACCTTGTATATGACTGTTGATTTGACCAGTGATAGCACATTAAATCATCTACAAACATATCCAGGCTGAACCTCGTGGCTCAAGCCTGTAATCCCAGCACTTTGGGAGGCCAAGGCAAGAGGATGGCCTGAACCCACGGGTTTGAGACCTGCCTTGGCAACAGGGTAAGACTTCTTCTCTACAATAAGAATTTTTAAAAATTAGCCAGTCGTGGTAGCACATTCCTGTATTTCCAGCTACTTGGAAGCCTGAGGTAGAAGGATCGCTGGAGTCCAGCAGGTCGACGCTGGGGTAGCCATGAGCATGCCACCGTACTCCAGTCTGGGCAATGGAGTGGAACTCCAACTCAAAAAAAAAAAAGGATTCCAGTGAGGTTAAATATTCTTTTACAATTGATGGCAAGATTCAGCCTACAATTTTCAGGGATAGCAGAATTAAGAAAAAAAGTTGAAACGACAAAACTGGTAATTTAGATACAAAAATATTTCAAGAGTTGGTCCTTTTCAATAAATGGAACATTAATTATAACCCTTAAATATTCTTTTGAAGAATTATGAAATTAGCAACAAGAAGTAATAGTTTGTTTTTTTGTTTTTTGTTTTTTGTTTTGTTTTGTTTTTTTTGTTTGGTATTTTTTGAGTTGGAGTCTCACTCTGTCACCCAGACTGGAGTGCAGTGGCCGCTCCCGGCCACCGCAGCCTCGCCCGCTGGGCTCCAGCGATCCTTCCGCCTCAGCCTTCCAAGTAGCCGGAATTACAGGCATGCGCGACCACGCCCGGCTGATTTTTTTGATTTATTGTAGAGATGAGGTCTCGCTGCCCAGGCGGGTCTCGAACCCGCGGGCTAAGGCAATCCACTCACCTCAGCCTCCCAAAAGTGCGTGATTACAGGCTGAGCCACCGCGCCCGGCTCTAATTCTTTATATTGTATTTTTACTGTACCCTTCCCTTGGTGTAGCTGTTGCCTCTGGTACTTGGTGCAGTCACATCGTGTTCAGGTATACAGGCCAGGAGCCATGGCTGTACTATAGAGCCTCGGTGTGGAGTCGGTCTACCGTCTAGGATTTTGTGAGCACAGTGTGATGTCCGCACAACTACCGCATCATCTAATGAGGTGTTTGTCAGAACGTGTCTTCGTCGTTAAGCATGACTGCATGCCAAGCTGTTAATACTAGCAAGGATCTTATTACCAAGGGTACAGTCGCAGAGCCAATGAGGGTGAAGCCTGAGAATGTAGTTACTGCATAACCGTGTTTTGGATGTCTTGACCCCTCGAACGGGAAGATGTAACATTTTAGCATGTTTTCCTAGAGCACTAAATCTGATTTTTTTAAAATTTTGAATTGGAGTCTCACTCTGTCGCCCAGGCTGGAGTGCAGTCAGTGGCACACTCACGGCCACAGCAGCCTCGGTCTGCTGGGCTCAGGCGATCCTTCCACGTCAGCCTTCCAAGTAAGCCGAAACTACAGGCACGCG